AACTTTGAAAATGATTAAAAAATGTATTTAACAGGTTTAAAATGAATTTAAAACGGTTAAGAATAGAAAATGATTATACATACAATATAGTGCAATCAGTTCGGACATCGCACAGTACTCATTCAGTAAATGCACAGCTAAACAGATGAGTTTTGAGTCTGCATTTCCGCATGTCATGGACGTCCACTTAGACTTGTGCTCTCCTATACTCACATAATAACCTCTCCCTTCTAAGTATGACCTGAACCATTTGATTACCATCCCAGAAAGCCCGACCCAGTTTCCCAGTCTCTCTAGAAGTACGTTATGATCGACAGTGTCTGACTGACAATTTTAATATACCGTTTTATCCTGATTAAAGCTTTAATACAGTACAGCAACTGCACGCGCTTCCATGTTTAATGCTTCTCATAGCTATGTGAAAATAAGTGTATAATTGGAACAGTTCATTGTTGGAGCTGAGCTGAATGAGAGAGAGAGAGAGACTGAGAGAGAGCTGCAGAGCATGTGCAGACTGCAGAGCAGGGGACGTGAGGAACAGTATTAAGAACTGCTGCTTTAGAACATTGATTTTGAAACGTGTGAATCCATTAGAATTGTTAGAAGACAGAATCGCGATTCATATATGAATAGATTTTTACGTGCCCCTCTAGTTTTCTCTTCCTCTTCTCTAAAGCAGCGCAGCATGGCCCCGCCCCCTTTGCTGCCTTTTCCCGAGGGCGGGGTTTATCAGGGTTTGTGATGTCACAAACCCGGGAAGTAACTCGTTGTAGTCACTACCAGACGTTTTTGTAGGCATTAAACTGACAATTTTAAAAGACGATATCTCCGTTTGCATTGAACTTTCAGCTTCGTAACTTTGCAGATATTGTTTATGCTCAAACAGCAACATTACACACTAACTAACGTTAAAAAAGTGAAATCGCAATCAACCACCCCTTTAAAACTGCAGTGCATTATTCTGCACCCTCAACCTACTGCTCTTTAGCAGCAGGAGTGTTAGACGGGCATCTGACCCGAACAGAACGGTTCTCCTGCGCACTTCCACAGCCTTGAACACGTCACAAACCACTTCGGCTCTCATACGGGTGGAAAAACGGCAGCAGAAACGCATTCGATCTTCTCAGTACGATGCTAATGCAGCCATGGGTCTCGTTTCTGTGACGTCACATTGTTGAGCTATAAAATGCATCAATAAAAAGAGGCTGAACTGAAGTGTGACGTGATGAGCAGAGGTTAGTGCGGTCAGAGGATGATGGGAACGTAAGAACACACCGACTAGAGAGAGTGAGGGCGGACAGATGAAGAGAGAGAAGGGAGGGAATGAGCGCATGTAGCCGTGATCCTCCCCTCTCTGGGACGGCCGAGT